TTTTGTTTTTTCTCACCGGTTAACGATCCTAACATGTTGTTATCAGCTGTGTCAAGTTTATAGTAGTCGGATGAAGTTTTTTTGTTGTTGTTGTTGGGTTTTTTTTCTGACCGGTCAACGATCCTAACATGTTGTTATCAGCTGTGTCAAGTTTATAGTAGTCGGATGAAGTTTTTTGTTGTTGTTGTTTTTTTTTTCTGGCGATCCTAACATGTTGTTATCAGCTGTGTCAAGGCTTGTTAAAAAAATATACGTAGATGACATTTCTAAAGCACTTCACATTTTCCCGGGTAGAGCCCTTTTTGCGTTACATGCTATTACTATACATGGGATGTTATTTATTCAATATTTCATTAAAGGCACTTTAGTACGAGTACCATCACTATACCACATTGTGGTTATAAACGTTTTCACGTAAAGGGTTTTCTTGAAGTGCCCTTTCATTACTTCTTACCAGCAACTACTCTTAGATATATATTGTAATTTCGTTGGGTGGTAATAAATCAACCCACTAATTGCTCTGTACATCCTGGTACTTACTGTTTCGTCTCCTATAAAGTGTAGTTGGTGCTTATTTCAACGTTACACTTTCCTCAGTAACACGTGACAAATTCCCACAATATTCTTATAATAACAGAACACTCGACCGCGTGACTGTAAAAGCTACATGTCTCGAGGAAATATTTAATAAAAGGATATTGATTAAATTATTGACTCTAATTGAAGAACCATATTTTTTCTTTTCACCAGATAAAGCATTATTAAAATATCTCAATTTTATTTCCCATCACACTAATAAAATAAAATGACATTATGCTGTTATCCGAGACAATGTTCGCTTTCTCTACAGATAGGAATTGATCACTCGGTAGTCACTGGATCGATTACAAAATAAAGGTAAGAAAGGTGTGAAAACTCCACTGATAAAATCAAACAACTCGAAAGTACGGTCTTTATGTTCTCAGAAGTGTAAAAAAAGAAAACCAAAAACTAAGTGTGATTAATCAAGACTTGAATCGTTGGTAAAAGAGTAGCCCAAGAGTTGGCGGTGGGTGGTGATGACTAGCTGCCTTCCCTCTAGTCTTACACTGCTAAATTAGGGACAGCTAGCGCAGATAGCCCTCGTGTAGCTTTGCGCGAAATTCAGAAACAAACAAACAATCAAAAACAACTCATCATAATCCAACAGAAATCAGGCTGTTCGAAATCCGAAAGCTGGAATTCATAACGCAAGGGTCCTTGTCACAGTCCGATATTTTTACATCCCAGCACCGTTAAACACCAATAACGAAAACGATAAAATTATTGATGTAAGTACTAAGAAAAAATATTTTGTGGAGAAAATACTTATTTACATCTTTGAGTATCTTGGCTTATATGCTTCTCATATGAATTTTAGTTCATTATATTGCATCGTGTTCTTTCTTTTCATGTTTTATATGTATATCATATAACATGATGCAATATAATGAACTAAAATTCATATGAGAAGCATCTATGCCAAAGACACTCAAAGATGTAAATAAGTATTTATATGTGTATGTATGTTCTCAAAGACATGATAAATAAGTCAGTATCGTACGATTAATCAATATTAATTCAGCATACTTACTGAATATTTAAGGATTTTCTAAATTTAATTCTTAATAAATAATATGCAAATAAGTCTGTAAGATTCATATTGGGTAATAGTTTTATGCTCACTTCCTTTTTAGAGAAAAATTGCTGTCTAAGGGAAGACTTAGTTCGCTTTGTCTATCACGAAAACCTTAATGGAAATATAAATTGATTTCTTCCTACATTAATCTTCTCTTACCATTTTCTCATTACCCAATGAATAATATTTCGCTACTAGTTTTTTACCTACACCACGACTTTAATAATAATTACGAGATTAACACTTACCTTATATAAACATAAATCCTGCCAAAGTGCCATTAGCGTCTACATCTGACAATTTCCCGCTTTCTGACAACTATGTTGAATAATCACAGCCTATCGGATCAATCTATATC